GGCAATGCTATAGCATCTTCGTGACTAGGTTTGTCAGTCAGTGAGTGGTCGTGAACAGGCACTTAATATGGCGTATCGGAAAGATTTTCGCACCAGCTGCGGCCGATCGCACGGGACAGCTATCGATTACCCGGATCACTGGCTTGAACAATATTCCTCAAGGGAGGCAATCTGAGATAACGATGGTGTTTAGTCTCTCCCATGGTTGGTCTATCTCTGAGACATCCTTTGTCTGTGGAGGCTCGTTAGGAGAGTCACCCCTCTTCCGGAGTGATCTTGCTTGGTACTCACATATTTTGGGGTCCAGCAAGCGTTTGATTCGTTTCCTTTGTGTGAAAGGTGAGGGGTCAGTGTTAGTTCTGATTAGACAGGTATATTCTGATAGATTTGATTTCTTCCAATTTCCTCATGTTTCCTTTTGGGCCCAAGACCACAGGATAGTTTTATGGGTGTTATATCTGCTGATTCGCCAATCTGAGGTATCTGCTGCTGACCCGCTCCAGTGCCTAGTTGCCGGAGAAAAAAGACTTACAGAAGGAAACACAACAGCCATATTCCGGACACGCGAGTGCGAGAGCGTGAGTGAGTGCGAGTGCGAAAAGTACAACGGTCTCAAGCTATTTATTGGAAGGACACTGTCTGCACTTAGTCCAATGCTGACGCACACGGTCTGGCTTTGGTAGGAGGCTGTGACCTGCTGCATATTGCGGGGACGTTGTCTGACCTTGACCAACGCTGAGTCGCGCTGTCTGGGTTTGATACAAGGCTGTGACGCGCTGCATGTTGAGGTGGTGTTGTCTGTCTGGTCAACATCTAGCGGAGCTGAGAGTCTCGGTAGATTTCGGGCATTCAGTGGTTGATTTCAGGAAGCTGACCTTCCTGATGATGGGCATGAATGATTCCACGCAGAAATAGCAGGAGATACTTTCACGGATATTGCAGTGCAGCTGATATCTTTCTTGGTCGCACAACATGGGTGAGCAGTTGGTATGATCAGATACTGATTTAGGTTCTTTTGTGACCACTTTGCAGAGTTTACGATAGGTTATTTTATGGGTGTGGGTGAACTGGGTCTCGCGATTTTACTTGGTGTTGCTTAAGTGAAAGGACCGACCGATCACCCGACCATTACAATCAATCAACGCGAGTAGGGGGAACGTCTCGAGATTTCGGGCTTAGAATTCATCATGAAAGACCATGCAGTCTTGTACACACGATCAGTCAAGAACGTTTCCAATCTTTCAGGTGACCGATCCACAATGTTTCTAGTTTGAGCACACTATTGTTTTGGTTTCCTCTTCACCTCTCTCCTTAGATCGTCCTGCTCGGGTTGTACAACGGGCAAGGCTTGGATCTAACTTCTCCGGACTGTTATCTCCTCATGCGAGTTACTCCGGGTCGTGAATACGTCAAGTGCGTGATGCGGGCGGGTCGGATGCAAGGTGCTTTGTTGATCGGTGAAACCGATCTGGAAGAGACATTGGAAAATCTCATTGTGAATCAGCTGGATTTGACGCATTTGGAAGACTCACTGCTGGATCCAGATATCGATCTCAGTGATTACTTTGACTAAAACCTTTTTGTTCTCCAACATTTGAGTGATGTAAATGACTTGCTTTCGCACAAAACAAAATGACTTACAACAAGAATATTATTTTTGTGACGTGTTTAGTCTGCTGAAACGGTTTCGTGGTTTGGGTTAAATCGGTCTGTGGGGTATATCGGATTTCAGTCAACCACACTATACAGTCGGAGTTTCCACTCTGGGGGGTTCTCGTAGTTGTGTCCCTTGAGGCTTACAAGAATAACAACTCCAGCCCACACACAGTGCCAGTATGCTGCCTGCGTAATTATTTCGGAGCTGGGATGACGTGACACGTGACCAAATACTGAGAAGAAACTTTTTCATCCACTGGTAGTTCCCTTGGGAAAAATATCGTTCGTCCCAGCTCAGCATACTGACACTGTCTCCTCGAATGGTTACCGAACGTGTTCTAACCATTGGTGAAGCACCGTGAAAAAGCCTAGAACGAAAACAGCAAGTATTTCCTCGCCAACAGGTAGAACGGTTTCCCTAGTATAAGTTTATTTTTGCGCGGGAAAACCAGGTTGGAGGTATGGAGGGCATTGGATACTTCATTTTTTTAAATCTGGGACGTGGTTTCCTAAAAAGGTTTGATTCCAGCAGCTTCAAACTTGTTCGTCATCAGCTATTAGAACCGCGTACTTGCTGTACAATGGTCCCAGCTGCAACCATTTCGTTCACCGATGATTTGGGGAGGTGGGGTGGATAACTGTGCATTGAAGGCGGTAGCGGATAAATTGTTGCGTAAATACAGCACTGTCAGCGGACTGTTAAGTGGGGGAATTTGGAAGGGAGCTATGCATTGAAGGCAATAGCTTGGATGCATGAGTGCCATTGAGGGTGCGACTGGACCATATCTGAGAATGTGTCTCGTTGCGGAGTGCTCTTCCAGGGAGGCGGCAATGGTCAACGCAGCTGTGTTTGATCGTTATGGCTTTCATAGTTCGCAGCCATATTTGACAATGTCTCCAACCATTGATGTCACATGGCGGATTGTTCTTTGAGGGAGACGGCAATGATCAACGCAGCTACGTTTGATTGTAGTAGCTTTCATACTTCGCAACCAAGTCATTGTTTGGCCTCCACCAACTCGTTTCCACCGTTCGCGTGGTTCTGCGAAAAGAACCTTTCGAGGAAGTCGGTCGACTGGCATACACAGCACGTGGCCAAGCCATCGCAACCTAAGCAGGGTGATCAGTTCATCCATCGATGGTGAGTTATTTCTCCCGAATACCTGGAAAACATTTGTTCTCGTCAACACTCTTCTGTTCCAAGACTGTTCATTTGGACAAGTGAAATAGTAACCTGTGAAACAGATAGCCTCCCAGGCCTGATGATTTTCTTGCTATCCTTCAATTCCGGATGTGCTTCATATCTTCAGTTTCCGGACCCTTTCAATATCAAATTTTCGCAAGCTATTTTTGATCGAACTAAAAGATTTTTTGCTCCTTCATACAATTCTCTAGAGGACAGTTTCTGGCCGTTGCGTTAACACATTGTTAAGCGTGACCCTCTGAGGTCGATCAAAAATCTTGTTGATGATTCCATCTGCTCGCGTAAGTGTTACTTGCCCACCACAGCTCTCCGCGATTACGGATAGCATCTCTTGAAGACTTGGCGGGCTGCAGGATAGCTGGTCACTAAACTTCATTGTGCAGTGAGGTAAAGTGATCTACAGTCACTCTGCTTAGTCCTGGATGAATGTGTTACCGACGAAAAACGGAATCGAAGCATGGATAACAACCTTATGCATCAGGTGGATGGTACTTGTGAACAGTGGTCAGATTCTCCGTTTTGTTTGGACTTTCGGGATCCTCTTTCCTACTCCTAGGCGTTACAT